TTTCATAATTTTGGCCACTGACTACTTCACTAAGTGGGTGGAGGCCAAACCGTTGAAAGTGGCGAACCAAGAGGAAGTGATTTCTTTCATACAAGAACACATTATCCATCGATTTGGTTTGCCATCAACGATAACGGCGGACCAAGGAACTGTGTTTACTGGGGGGCAAGTTATGGAGTTCGCGGCGGAGCGGGGAATAAAAATTATCCATTCCACGCCGTATTATGCACAAGCTAACGGGCAAGCGGAAGCATCCAACAAAGTTGTGAAAAATATTTTGACGAAGATGATTGAGGATAACCCGCGACGCTGGCATGAAATATTATCAGAGGCGTTGTGGGCATACAGGATGTCTCCGCGGAGCAGTACGAGAGTGAGTCCATTCTCGCTAACTTATGGGCATGAGGCATTCCTTCCCGTTGAGGTGACTGTCAACTCACTCCGGTATATGAAGCAGCACGAGTTAACACCTCAGGAGTATCATGAATCGATGATGCTCGAACTCTGCGATCTTGATGAACTTCAACTCCGCGCCCTTGATAATGTTCAAGTACAGAAAGCAAGAGTGGCAAGAGCTTATAACAAGAAGGTTCGGCACAAATCATTCGAGGAGGGCGAACTGGTTTGGAAAGCTCACTTGCCGATTGGGGAAAAAGATCCCAAGTTTGGAAAATGGTCGCCAAATTGGCGTGGACCATTTGTGGTACATTCTGTGCGTCCTAATGGAGCGTACTTGCTAAAAGACTTAGATGGAGTGATGCATGAGCGTTTGATAAATGGCAAATATTTAAAGCCATATGTGCCGTCCCTATGGGACGCAGCTGGTCATTAATCTGAATAATGACGATCAACCATGTGCGAAACGGGTGTAGCCTCGTCGGCCACCAAGCTTGCACAATATGGTTGAATAGTACGGGAATGGCGAAGTAGGCAACAAATAAACTAATTTGCCGACTCTGTTACCAATAAAGAAAATTTCTTAATGCCTTTAAGGCCAGCGGCAGGGTCAACATAATCCCAACCGGTGTGGTATAATACCAAATTATTTTTTCTCCTCTTCGTTTGTCAGAGTCGCAAAATAAAACTGGCACAACAGTGCCGTTTTACTGTTATTTTTCTCTTTGAGATTATCGCCGCCAAGCGGAAGGGACAACGAAGAACAATCAAGGTTGTTTGGGAAAGAAAGCAATGTTGTTTGACAAAAAAGGGAAGAAAGGTCCGATACCGTTTTTGGTGTTACTCTTTCAAGTAATATTGTTTTGGACCCGATGCGGCGAAAAGAGTATGCCAAAAAACCAATGGATAACAATGTTGGAAAACGAGAGTGGTGAAAGGGAATTTTCATAGTGGCTATCGTAAGAGTGGTTTCGCGACATTGGAAAAAGTCTGTGGTTGTGAAACGGCAGTTTTGATAAAAAGAATAAAAAAAAAAGAGAGATGGGTCAACACTAGCGTCGTTTGGCCATCGCACAGTGCTGCGGATACAGTATGGCAACGCAACCAGGTTTCTAAAACAACATTGCTGCATTACAAACTAAGAAACGCCGACGTTTTGGGTCACAACAACGCTGCAATGCTGGCGTTTGCTTTTTAGGCTCTACCTTTAAAAGCAAGATTGTGTGGCCGCGTCTCTTTTGGCATGATAATTAGCACATGGCAAAGTAAATTCGGGGATGCGATGGTTCCTTTGAGCCAATGTTGCCGCCGTGCAATGAGAGAGTGGAGAATGTTTTGCGGTGGAAGTTTTAGGGCCAGCTAGAAGTTAATCCAAGGCTGCGCAGAGGAATTTCGAGATCAGTTGGTGTTGGTAGCAAGGAAACGACGTATGAGTGTAGTCATCGATAAGAGGCCACCAATCACACAAGGACGCGATATAGTGCGATGATGTTGGAGAAATCTCATGCCAAATATATCTTATGGTTTGGAGTTCTGACAACAAACATATACTGCAGAGAAAGGGTACAAAAGGTCAAAGGAAGCCTAAGACCAAGTGAATATGCTTGCCGGCTGCAATGTTGAAAACGAAGAGAAGACAAAGCAAGATTGTTCAAATCCCAAGTAATAGGTATGCATTTCTTTTATTCATACGCTATATACATGCATACATACGTGTATACTGTAGCAAGAAGAAAACGCCGCTGTTAAACAAAAAACATCGCTGCGAGGCCGCACAACCGGCCGCAATAAAAAAAAAATTTAATTAAATAAATTGTCGCCAGAGGCGCAGCGTTGTGGCGAGAAAGAAGAAAGGAAAATCAGAGCTGTTTGATAGGAAAACAACGGTGTTGGGATCGAGCTCTCCTTGTTGGTGGAGGAAACAGAGTTTGGCCAAAAAGGTGTCATTACAATGGGCCGCAGCAGCGTTGCAGTCTAGTATGGAACACAAAGTTAAGAAACGATGTAGTATTGACTTCACGACATCGCGGAATAAAAGACTTAGAGGAGTATGTAAACGTTGCCGCGGAAAGCAAGGCAACGCTACGGTTTTATTTATACACCATGGAGAGTCCCAAATCAAGCAGAATTGAATTGGTGTTGGCGGATACAATTTAGGGAGGTAAAACAAGGCTGTTTTTGGCCAAAACCAAGCTGAAAAAAAATAGAATCGTTTGCAGCACTGCAGGAGGAGCAACTATGTGTTTTGGCCTTTTGGGGATTCAACCTGGCCCAAGCAAAACAAGTCTCCTGCGTTGTATTTTGCAGGCGGGTTGTATTTTGTTTGCAAAACAAGTCATATTGTTTTGGGGACAAACAACAGAATTGGTTATGGCCTACATCTCCTGCGTTGGAATTGGATTTGTCTTTTTCCACATTGCTATTTTACTTATCACGAGGATTTCTGCCAATTTTTGGTGTATTTACGATCAATCTTAAAGATTATTTTAGGTGTTATAGCTTTGTTAACAATTTGGTTCATAATTCTTATAAACCAAATTGTGGGGGGCATTTGTTGACACCTAAAATTAATTTGGCCGGGATTAAATGCCGCATTAATTAGTCACGGCATTTAATTCGATACCGCGGGTTAAAAAACGGTATCGTTTGGAGTTAAAACGGTACCGCAAGGGAGCTCACCGGTACCGCGGAGAGTTAAAACGGTACCGCAAGGGAGCTCACCGGTACCGCAAGGAGGCTCACCGGTACCGCGGCACTGGAAACGGCACCGCTTGCCGAAAATAAAAAACAAGGGCCGCGCGTGTGGTTTCTTGTTGGAGAAGGAGTGTTGTTTTTAATTAATTAATATTTTTATTCCTTGTTAGAGGAGGAAAAACGGTACCGCGGAGAGTTAAAACGGTACCGCAAGGAAGCACAGCGGTACCGCAACACCGGAAACGACACCGCAGGCCGAAAATAAAAGGGCCGCACGTTTAATGAAGGTTGGAGGAGGATTTTTGATTATTTAATTATTATTTTTTATTCCTTGTGAGAAGTGGCACCGCGGAGAGTTAAAACGGTACCGCAAGGAAGCTCAGCGGTGCCGCGGCATTGGAAACGGTACCGAAAAAACAAAAGGGGGCCGCGCAGGTGGTTTCTTGTTGGAGAAGGAGTTTTTTTTCTAATTAATTATTATCTTCATTCCTTGTCGGAAGGGGAAAATCGGTACCGCATGGAGACAAGCGGCATCGCGGAGAGTTAAAACGGTACCGCGGATTTAAAAACGGTGCCGCGAGAGCCTGGTAAGCGGTACCGATCAATTAAAAATCATATCGGGCAAGTGACCAAAATTCACCCGGCCCAATGCGAGCGCCGACTGCGGCACGTTCCATGGATTAATATTTTTTGGCTATATCAGCGGTGTCGTTTAATCCAAAACGGTACCGCGAGTAAGGCCAACGGTACCGCGGACTAGCAAACGACAGTGTTTAAAATAACAAACAATGTCGTGAGGAAAAGCAAACGGAGCCGTTTTGGCGCTAATGATGTCGTTGGTCAACACACGAGTTTGACTAGTGATGACCGGATTAATTAACTAATATTGTTAATGATTATTTAGGACGGTGTCGTTTAGTTGAAAACGATGCCGCAAGAGGAAAGAAACGACACCGCGAGTAGGCCAAACGATGCCGCAATAGTTAAAACGACAGTGTTAAAACGGCATCGCGAAGTTCAACAGCATCGCAGAACTAGAAAACGATGCTGTTTAATTAAAACGGCGCCGCGAAGTGAGGGTTTGACGGCGTGTCAACAATGATGCCCGGTTTAATTAATTAATATTTTAAGGATTGGTTTAGACGGTGTCGTTTAGTCGAAAACGACATCATGGGAGATATCAACACCGCCGCGGTACTGAAACGATGTTGTTTAATAGAAAACAACGTCGCAGTGGCGAAAGTTTTGTGGATTTTGGCTCGGTGTCGTTTTGGCCAAGTTTCCGCGTGTCCAAGCGGTTTCGCACTCGTGGGAGTTACGCAACAAGGAGGAAGTTACCTGCACGGTTGACAGGAATGAAGACGTGGGAGACAAAGGCGCGAAGGCAGTTACTACGACGAGGAGAAGCGCGAAGTATAAAGATTTGGAAGAGAGAGAAGTTCGAGACGGCAAAAATCAAATCACAACTGCACCATTGCAGAATTATCTTTTCTCTTTCTAGTTCGTAGAACCGCTCTGTCAAAGACCTCCTTTGCAGAGTCGTAGTCGTAGCTTGTAGTCGTAGTCACGGAGCTCTCCAGAGGGACCTCCATAGGAGTAGAGGTAACGTAACTTAGAACACTCCTGGTTCGATTCTCTGTTTATTCGTCGAACACCCTCGTTCGAACGTAGTTTGGAGAGGTGTTGAACCGAATAACAGTTGTTTGATTAGAAGTCAAAGGTGTATCGATCAAATCAACGACGCCGACACCGGCGGCGGCCATTTGACGATCGTCTTGGTTTCTGTTTTAATCGATCAAATCAACGACGCCGACTTCGGCGGCGGATATTTGACGATTTTGCTGATTTCGTGTTTGTGTTTTAATTGAAAACAGTGCGCATCGAACACGTGAAGTTTCGCCAACGAAACACACAATGAACAAACATCACAATATTGACAAACCAGTCGTCCTTCCCTCGAAACAATTACAGAGAATTAAAAGCAGCCAAGCAAAGCCAAAAAAAAAAGTTACATTTACTAGATAGAACTCATTCATCTCAAAACCAAAACTTCGAAGTTTTGATTTACAGATTCAATCAGCGGAGAAAAGCTTCTTCTGGAGAGCAGATCGAAGCTGCTCTTTGGCCTTGTCAACCAGCAACAGCCCTTCCTGCAGCCTTATCACCCCTTGCCGGCTTTTGTCGCTGATCTCACCGATCTCCTTCAACACCGACTCCGACCCGTACAGCGTCTTCAAGAAATCGATCGTGTCGGCGATCTCCACCCCTACCGTGCTCTTGCCCTCCATCTCCGTTAGCTCCCTCAGCCGGTTCAGCAACATCGGCACCCACCTCGCCTTGAACTCCTTCTTCTCCTCCGCCGTACCGCAGAGCTCGTGTTCCCTACGCGCCGCCGACACAAGGTCCAGGTGGCAGCCCGATTCTTCCCGAAACCAAATTCAGAAAAACGTAAATAAAAAAGTATTGCCTCTGGAAGAACTACTACTCTAAACCTCCAATTGATTGAATTGACTTTTGTAGGGATCGAAACCTTACCGGAGAAGAAAGCAGAGATAGATTTGGGAGAGCCGATTGGGGAGAGCCCCGTTGACGGCCGCCGGCTGTGCCGGATGTGGTGGTCTGGGATCCGGTGGATGGGGATGCTGACAGAGACGAAGGCGGAAGGAGAAGATGGGGCCGGCTCGTCGTCGAGATCCAGTATGCTGTCGTCGGGATGGCGGTGAAGGTGGTGGTGGTTGGAGGAAGGCGGCGGGTGGCCGGTGGATTTGGAGAGGGCATACTCGAAGAAGGAATTGCGCTGCTGAGCTGATTCGGAAGGAGATGATTTCGCCGTGCCCGATCTCTCCATGGCTTTGCTTCCTCTGTGTGTGGAATTTTGGCCTTGCGCGTCGTTTTTTTTTTTATTTTCTTTTTTGGGTTTGGAGTTTGGACTTTGCAACGCTATCTCCGGGGAAATGAAGTCGCTGCTGCCATTTATTGGACGTTCCTTCGGGCTGACGCCGTGAGCAGAGGGAGGGATCGATCTGTAATTTTTCGCGAAGTTGGAAGTAAAAGGGAAAACAACTTTGTGGGCGCCGTTGGTCTGCTCTGCCGTGGTTGTGTCTTGTGTGCCACTGTGCCTTCAGTTTTGGTGGCGTTTTTGTTCAGAGATTTTTATAAGACCTTTTTTTATCAAAGATTTTTAATTTGATGATTATTATTACAATGCAATGCAAGTCAAGTCAAGTCAAACATTGCACAATTAGATAGTAGATTCATGATTAATCTCTGAAACCCCCTATCGTAACTTTAGAATTTTACTACAGTGACTTACAGTAAATTTGCAGATAACATGGTAACCAGTCGACCGAATGAACTTACACTTTTATATTTCTAAGTCACCAAAATGCTTCACTATTACAAACTGCCTCTTATGTACGAATATTTCTCTGACCGGATCGATTTCATCACATAATGTTGATAAATGTCAATAGTTTGTAAAAACTAAAGAAAAGTCATTGAAAAAGATAAGTGAAGTTAATTCGGATTAATTCTCTTATTGAAGGAAACGTTGGGATCAGATCCAGTCAATAACCTTGTGGTCAATGACTATGCATAATCCAATCAGAATCAGCCACATCAGCGCCCCTTCTCTCTCCTATAAAGGCTTTAATTTTTTCCCTCTTTAATCTTTAACGAACGATTTCTCACTCGTTTTAAGTCGAAATTTAATTTTTTTGCACAATTGGATCTGATTAATTGCGTTCTTCAAAATGATATCCACTTTGATATATTTTTGGAACAAAAAAAAATTGAGCTATTTTTTACCAGTCTATATCATATGGTATTGACTGGTATTGAAATAAGAGCATAGCATATGGTATGAAAAGTGTATCATGGTAGTATGAACATACCAAGACTGTAGGATAGTTGAATACATGATAGGAGTATACTAACTGTCATTTATGACTTTCAACACTGTGCACCACAAGATATCACCTCATACCAGGGTGGTATTGTATGATACTGTGTGGTATTTTTTTGTACTGTATTTTGTTCACCCAGAAATTTGTAGGTCCAATAATCATGATGAACTCGTTCATTCTGTGCAAAAAATTTCAAAAAGGACTTAAAACGAAGAAAATACCATATGGTATGCAGTTGATAACATGAGGCGTTAAATTTTTTCTCAAAAAATATTGAAAATGGATCTCATTTTGTAGATCACAACGAACTCGTTCCATCTGTGCAAAAAAAAAAAAAAAATTGTAATCCAAGGTAAAACGGAGAAGATATGAGCCGATTAAGAAAACAAAGAAAATAAAAATGTCTTTAATTCTCCACCCTTAGATATTAATTTTCTTAATAAAGGGCACAGATTTAGTTATGAATGGGTGCATAACCCATGGTTATGCACCGTATCTTGAGTCTGAAACGTTTGCTTGATCAAAATTAATTGACCGAATTAACGGAAAGTCCCAATGAATTTGATTGATTTTCAATATTGAAAGAATCTTTCATGATCATATCAATTACCTAGGGACGACAGAACAGTTTCGGTTAGCAGTTGACTGGACGATTTCGACCGAACCGACCGGTTTTCGGCTAACCGAAAACCGTCCTCAATTGTCGACGATCGATCGGAGGAGGAGAGGGGAAGACCGTGGTCGGAAACCGGCAGTTAACCAGCTAACCGACTTTCCCTTTACTCCAAAACGACCCCGCATCCCCGCCCAAAACGACCCCTCCCCCGCCCAAAACAACCCCCAGACCCTGACACACTAAAACACAACACCAAACTGCGGCCAAGTATAATCGCAGTCCGGAAATGCAGAATAGTAGTAAGTTTAATTTATCAACCCGGGGTCTAGATCTACTGCTTACTCTGTGATTATCTATTATCTAGCGGGACTAAGTTTAGTGAGAGTGATTATAAACAAAAGTAGTAAGAAAGCAGAAAAGTGTTCGATTTTCAAAAGCAAGGGAAGACTCACTCGGGAATGAGTCCCCCTAGCTCCTTAGTTAGGTTCAAGTCGTAATTTCCTTTAGGTTGATTACTGTTGATTAAACTGCGGAAGATCCGACAGTAGTTTGGAATCTCTTAAACTGACCAAGCCCTCTTAGACAGACTAACCAGCAGACGACTAGTCTTCACCGGGATAGAAAGCTAAGGAAATTAACACAGAACTCCACTACTTAAATTGGATTCCAGTAAAAAGCAGTGAATTGACTAACTCTCGTATAATCAATCCACTTCTATCAATTGAAGAAGCTCCAACCTAATCAGATTCTATCTATCTCAGGTTGCAACAGAAATCAAGAGAATTTTATCAGGATCCAATTGATTCAATAAACACGCTTCAGTTGATTATAATCAAACAGTAACTCAATCGAAAATTCATTACAATCAAGATCCCTAATACATAGAACTAGGGTTCTTCAAACACAAGTGAGAGAAGGGTCTACTCCATAGAGAGAGAGGGAAACAGAATTCAAAGCAGTCATACTCATAACGACGGGAAGAATCTGCTCTGCGATGATAATCTTCACTCCAAGGATGAAATCCAAGCTTGATTGATGAAACCCAGCTCCAGAATCAATCCTAGTGTTTGTTCTTCGCATTTTCTCTCTCTATGACTCTGTTTTTGCTCCAAAAAGTCGATTCCCCTCTCAAATACCCGAAATTGGGTTAAAACCCACAATATCACGACCACACAGTAAGACCACACGGCCGTGTAGAAATCCAGTCTGCCCGTGTAACTCCCAAATCGCGGTGTTGCACTTAGTTGGTTGACGGAAGTCACACGGGCAGACCACACGGTCGTGTGGAATTGAGCATTGCTCGTCTAGGCCCCCTGGACATTCCGTAGGGCCAAAATGTGCCCTTGCACAGCTAGTACGGCCTTGGCCGTGTAAAAATCAGATACACGTCCACACCGTACGGCCGCGTAGAATCGGCTCTTGCCCGCGCAATGCCATGTTGCACGGCCGTATGACCTCATGAATTGCCCGCATGAAATCCTCAGCTTTCCGTCAAACGTCCCAACTTCGTCGAATCGACCCCGAACTTTTGTCGAAGCCTTCATTCACGTACTAGGGCCTGAAATATCACAAACAAAAACAACCTAGAGTAAAATAGGCCAAGACACCACAAATTTTAGCCAAAACAGTTAAGAAACAAGGGTGCAAACATGTGCAAATATGGTGCTATCAAATTCTCCCACACTTAACTTTTTTCTTGTACCCAAGCAAACCTGACCCAAACCAATGCAACTCTCCAGACCTTTACAGCAACATGTAACCACGATCGTCGGTAGAGGATTTCCTAGACCATTTAACAACTTACGAGGTCAAGGGGTCTTCTAAGACGTACCCTATCTCTCTAAATGCGAGTACTAGACTCAAGTCAGGATCATGAGAAGCAATGGAGCTAAGATAGCCAATTCATGGATAAGGAGACTCACACAATTTAACGACCAAGGATTCTTTGTATCAGGTGCTGTTTTATTTCATCTCACTTGTTGGAACCTATTTTCCTTATTATTTGTTTCTTAATTTCATTGACCCTCCTCGACTAGAGTCATCATTTCACTACCTTCAATCAAGGGTGCTCTATCAACCACAAATATTCTCATTCTAGGTCAAAGCATGAATAATAGGAATTTGATCATGATTCATACAATTCTGAAAATCATGCCTCGATTGAATATAATCAGTATCAAAGAATTCATACTTGGGTTCATACAACCAGATCTAACATACAAATCTAGGGTTCTTCATACCCAGGTGAGAAAGGGAGTTTACTCCATAGAGGTGAAGGAAAATCTGCTTCAGATGCGGAATTCATACTGTGAAGGATGAGGATCTACTTCTGGTGATCAATCGGCACTCCTCCAAGCATCCATCGAGCTCCAATGGTGTTGAAGATCGATTTAGGGCACTTGGAAGTTATGTTCGTCACTTTCTCTCTCTAGGTTTTCTGCTCTCTAGCTCCCAAAAATCGGATCCCCTTGCAAAATTGGTCTTCTTTCCCTCGAAAGGCAGAAGGACCCGATACCCAGCCATAATACCCGGTTGGGTATTTCAGGTGACCGGCCGGGTATTTTGAAACGATGCGTAGTGAAAAGGGCTAATAACCGATCGAGGTCCAGAATACCCGATCGGGTATTTTAGCTATTCGGTCGGGACCCCTTCTGGATTTTTGGCGTCAAAAACAACTTTACCCGGTCGAGTATTTCAAGGGTCGACCGGGTATTTCCTTCCTCCATCGCCCTTCACTCCAACTTCCTCCTTTTTGACTCGAAACTCGTTTCCACACCTCCATGTCCATGCCAAGTCCTGAAATATGACATAAACGCACAAACTAGCGTGAAATCGGCTTAAAACACGAGAATCGACTCTTAAGCGGCTCAAGAATGGTGGTCTAAACATGTGTAATTAATGGTCTATCAAATGCCCACACACTTAACCGTTTGCTTGTCCCTAAGCAAACCTGACTCAAACCAATGTAGCTCTCCATACCTCTATAGCAACACACAACCCCGATCGTCGGTAGAGGATTTCCTAGATCAATTAGCAGCTTACGAGGTCAACTAGTCTTCTAAGACATCCCCTATCTCTCTCAATGCGAGTACTAAACTCAAGCTAGGATCGTTAGAAGTAATGGAACTAAGACAGCTAATTCATGGATAAAGGGACTCACACAATTCAACAACCAAGGACTCATTATATTGGGGTGCCATTTCACATCATTTCAACCGTTGGAACCCCTTTCCGCACTTTCATTTTACACTTCATTTGTTTTTCCATTCACTTTGTGGGGGTTCCAACTGCATTTTTTGTACAGTCAACCCTTATTAGTTGAGCAAGAGCAATTTCTGTACATCTGTCACTCCCCAGAGTACTTCCTTTAATTCCTTTTCCTCAACTCGTGTGGAGGGTCAATGAAATTAAGGGGGGTCGGAAGCTCTATCCGTGCCCTTAAAAACACATCCTCGAGTAGGCAAACCGTTCAACGGGTGAAAATTTTACTTGTACTAGAGACAACTTAGCTTCACCTTGTAGGAGTACCCCACTAAGGATCACTAAAATCT